GTCGGGCATAAACCGGTCCGTGGCGCAAAAAAGGTTGGAGACCGCTGACATAGATGACAGCTCTCAGAGTTATACTCATAGAACCTTGGGTTACGGTGGGTAACCTTTCCTTAACTGTTATTTTGCTGTGTTCAGATTTTATTGCGGGCTGTGAGAGATCATGTCTGCACTGGTCAGATGGTGAAACCTCTTCCCTCTCTTATGCGCACATATGAATCTTTTCTTTTTTTTGTCTTGCAGATTGTGCTGCATCAGTTGGTTAACATTTTAGAGCAGACAGAAAAGGTCGTGGCGACTCTCACTGATGTGGAGCTGCCGGAGTGGAAGCGCAGGCAGCAGTTGGCCTGCATTGGAAGTCAAGCTGACACCAGTCTGGACCACCTGGACAAGTGGTTAGAGCTCATTTGTTCTGCTCACCTTTGCATGTCTAAGAGAATCTGTTTTTCCTCTCGGACTTTTTACACTCAGCCTGTTTTATTCTGTGTGCAGGTTTTCGACTGTCGCCGAAGTGCTGCTAGGAGTCTGCGAACAGCTGAAGAAACTTCAAGACCAGAACAGCAAATACAGCAGCGCTGACCCTGCCTTCTGCCTCCCTACTTCAATCCCAGAAACTGAGAAATTTGGGCTGTCCTTGTTAATAAAACTAGTCACAAAGTGAGTCACTCTTTTTTTACATATATAGACACACACACTGATGCACCAACAGTATGAATAATGACACGTTCTGTTGTGGTCTGGCATTGCAGCGCTCTGGTGGTGGAGAAACAGCCCGTCATGCAGAAATTTGCACTGCGTCCTCTGATACTGAAGACCGGGGTGCAGTTCAGTATCACAGTGAGGTAAGCATGCAGTGACTTTATACACGTGTATGTCTGAGAAACCCAAATGTCAGCTGGGACTTCATGTCACTCAGCGCTTCCATATAATGGGAATATGTAATCAGTTCCTTTTGTTTGTCTGTCTGTTTGTTAGCAGTTTAATGTTGGGGGAAACCAGATCAAGTCTGAAAATCAGTGAAAACTTTATATTGCCCACAATTTTCTGTGGTCTTTACACAGTTTAGGGTCAGGTCTGATCCCCAAAACTAAAACATTTCTTTATTAAACTGACGTTCATCTTATTTTGACTGCAGTTTTCTCTCTGAGGTCTCAGATGGACCTCATTAGGTATATTTTCCTTTTACCTGCTAATTATTCATACAGACAAACTGTTTCTTTTTTTTTTTTTATAATTCAAGTATTTATTAGATTTTGCATTTTATAACAACAAATACAAAAATGCAGCAAACACACAAAACACAAAACAAAACAAAAGCAGTGAGGTTTTAACATCTGTTGTATTAAGCTCAAATGTCCAAGTCAGGTAGTCATGTAGGTGCAAAAATTGTCCCACTGTTCCAGCGCAGCTTCCGTCACATGATGTAACAAGCTCAGAAGTTAGCAGCTAGGTTTTGAGATGAGGCATTTTGACTGAAAGCCGTGTATAGGCTTACTTATTTAGATTTTTTTTTTATTACTCAGTTTTTAATAAAGGTTTTACATATTTTTACAACAGAAAAGGAAAACAACAAACAACCAAAAACAA